AGGAGGGGTGTGGATGTATTCACAGACAAGAAGAATAGCCCCATATCGATCGCGGCCAATACCGTCAAAGACCCATTCTTTTTTTACATCACGTCCTGGGGGGTATGCTTCTCTTTATCCAAGCACTTCCATCTGTTTTGACAATGTGTTCTACTTCTCCGATGACTGCAGGATGTCTCAAAAAGTACTCACCACACAAATCACACATTAAGTTTTCTCCATCAACGATTGTCGATTTGCAGCAAAGTTACAGTGACGCCGAAGAAACGAACGCGAGTGGAGTTCTTGCGACAAAAAATACATCAGATCTAGGACTTGACAAATCACAAGCTTCCAGTATGAGAAAAATATGCCGTGACGAAGTGTTCTTGTACTTTTAACATTTTCTACATCGCTACAAATATGCATCAGATACACGAGCGCAAGCGCTGAGTTTCTAGGTGTTCTGGTCTTGCTCACATGATTCATTGATGGTATAACCAATCAAGTCAACCTTTTGACAAAAACAAATGCATTTTGCAGTGTCAGCTGTTAATTCGCTCCATCTGCGAAAGTTGAAATCATCGAGAGACGAAATAAGTGCGTTGTCAACGATGAATATAATTTCTTTGCCATTAACATCTCTATTATATCAATCGTTTTGAGTAATTATTAGAATTCAGAACTATACTCTTTTCATTCTATTGGAACAACTTGCTCTGTCTATTCTACCCACACCCTAATCTTGCGTCATCTTTGATAGTGGTATCTCAATTGATAGAGCAAATTACGCAATAGTTCTTTTTTTCTTTTCTTTCTTTCCTTCTGTATAGATTAACAATCGAGGTGCCTGTATCGTGTAGAAATATTGACAATTGTTGTTTTTCGTGTATCGGTGTGGACTTTGACTTTGATATAACAGAATTGTATTAGAAATAAATAAGTAAGCGATGCCTATTACTTTAGATTTATTCAGTACTTTTTTTCTTTTAATGATAAACTAAATCTTTCATGATGTTCTCTATGTGCGGTTGAGTCATTTAAATATCGTGTTGTCATTCTTTAAAATGCACACCAGCATATAGGATTGCTACATATTGTATTTTAGTTTATTGTCGGTGTGGGTGTAAGTATAGATGTGCGTGTGTATCCCGGCCTCCATAAGGATGACGCTAAAGATACCGGTGGTGTGTCGTGTGGTGCTGCCATTCAACAAATCATACGTATGCCCACACAATCGCAACCGCATCCAAATCCAACCTGTCACAACACTCACATTCACATTGCTCACACACTAATTACATTTCAGGACAAGACGATACAAATAATAGTACTATTAAACCAACGGCAGTTAATAAAGAATCACTGAATGTTTTGAGACGTAAGTTATGTAATTTTCTCTTAGTAAGCGTCTCTTTGTTATAGCGATTTTTATCAAGAATATTGAACAATTATAGAATTCGACAAATGATCAAAAAGTCACGCATTTCAAACTATCAAAATCGGAATAAAGTACATACAATAAAGGTTTCAGTCGTCTTCGATCAATTGTATTACGAAAAGGTATATCAGCACATTATGTCTCACTTAGAAAAATTCATGCTCTTGTTCGCAATAGTCATATGATTAGACATCGAATATTGTCTTACAACGAAAATGCTGATTTGACACTGAAGATATTACAATATCAAGAAATTTTTCATGAAGTAGAAGTAAATTTTTGTGTTTCATTGATTGTCTTTGATCACAAAACTATTCTTCTTTCATTTTTCTTTATCTTCTTGGTCGTGATTTCTATTTATTTCATTCTTGCTATCTTCAAAATAGTCACCTAAATTTGTCCTATAGATTATTTTTGAATATTTTTTAATGAGCAATCAAATATCTTCTTTTGAAGAATTTCCAGATGAAGCACATGTAATACTTTATGTTATTAGTGGGAAATATTTTATTCAAGAATAATATTATATGAGTATCTTTGTCCCACTATTGATCTTCTTTTAATTCATTTTTTCTGTATGTAGATGAGTGAATCTAATTTTATGTCAATGAAGAGTTTATGTGTAGATCTTAGACAACAACGCATTTTCTTTAAAGTATAGGATTTTTCATTTTTTAATTACAATTTTTGTCTTTTGTTCATTCAGAATGGTGTTTAATGGGCCCTCATCCAACAATGGGAATTTTGACAATGCCATCAGGAACGAAAGAGTTTCAGAAATTTTTTATGTTCATAAGAAATCTATCCTATAAAATATCCATGTCTATTGGAATTGAACATGTTCATAAAATAGTGGTATTTGTTCTAATAACGTACCTAATTCTGTATCATTGGTCTCATCAGAAATTATTTCAAGTCTTGTTGGAAAAATATTAAAATATTTAAAGATAAGATAGTATAATTCTCATTATGCGTAAATATATTTCTTTTGTATCATTAACAGTTATACATATACATGTATATATGTATATGAAATTGAAGCATGCAACATTCATTTTATTTTGATATTGTATTTTGTAATCTATTTATTTTTCTAGATAAGATTAAAATTGCCGATATTTCTTTGGTAAAGGTATACTTCGTAACGATAATGTTATTCAAGAACATTTCAACGCATAATGCGAATGTAATTTTAGTTAGATTGAACAAAGAGTTTTATCGTGACAAGTTCCACTTGCAGGCTTGTCTAGCATTACTTTTTTTCAGACTCGTCGATGTCTAAAATCGTTTATGTGTTGACACTTCAACTGTTTGGATCAGAAATATATCAACCAATGAGAAATAGCTGAAAACGTCTAGTATATAATCTTCGTAAGTTTTATTTTTTTAGAATGCGAGTACAAGTGTGCTAATAAATAAAGTTGATAGCCTGAAGTGCTCACACTGCTTGTTGAAGACCTTCGTTGGATTGTTCTAGATGTGTCAAAAAGCGAGTCCATGAATTGATATTTTGCTCGACTCAGGATTAAAGTTATGATGTCGTCCCATCCTGATAGACCATGTACTATTTTGATGGCGGCGAAATAAACTATTTCGATGTGACATTGTTGCTTTTCTATGAAAGATAAACGTGCTGAGAACAGTCAGATGACATATGGCTAAGTAAACACAAAGAATATTCAACGACATAGATCAGTATCTTTTCTCGTATTATGTAGAACATTATTCGCTTTTGTTTAATCTTTGCCTATATACTTTTGTTAATGGTGCTTCGCTGTAACTGTTACACCAACTGTTAGCCAGTATCATTCGACTGTCTCGTCATGTTATTTAAAAGCACTTCAACCGAAATTGAATGTACTTATCCTTAACTGCGGAGAGTCTTTTGACATCATGCCTACACCTAGTACAACTCTCTTTACTTTAGTGATAAAAGCAGTACGTAACAGTCCACTGTGCTCATGCAAACAGAGTGTTCGCGTACACTCCACGCAAAAGTCTCATCAAACACACTGACTGTTGAATGCTGAACTATACCAAAATACTGATAAGTCTTTTCGTTTCAGCCGTTGCGCTTTCACTCTGAAGAAAGAGTTCACTTATTGATAAAACTTACATAGAAGAAGTAGAACTACTATATTTTTTACAATTTTATTTTCAACCTTTGAGACAACGAATGAATAGATGTCACCACACTTGATGGCTGAATTTACAATAGAGAACATACTTTTGTTGTTGTCGATCTAAAATGAATTCTGCTCTAACGGATTGTACCAGTTAATGGTCAAGCATTTATGTCGTGTTCGAAATTCTTTTTCGTATCTGTGGCATGATTTTTACCCGAAAATAATGAGTTAATGTTTTTAATAACGTTATTTTACTTCTGAGAAGTATACTTTTTGACGGTGAAAACGTGATATTGCAGTGTTCCAGTTTCGAAAAGATCATGAAAGCGAGCAATATCAAATATTGCCATGTATGTCTCGAAGAAGCACTGTTACATAACATTGTTTCTGTAAGATAGATGTTTTCTTGCTAAGAAAGCCTTGTCCGATCTATTGGAAACATTAGTCAGAGGAAATTTTGCAACTTTGAATGGCTTTGTTAAGAGCAGATGAACTGAAAGTTTTTGGGAGGAAAACATTTTTGAAGTTCAGTGGGGATTTTTCTGACGACGTGTTGATTTTTTATGGTAACTGGAATTCTTTGGAGATCGAAGTGCTCAGAAACTATGACAACTTAGTCAACATGAAGATCGTTTTCCAATAATCACCACTCTTCTCCCCTTCCCTTCTTGCAACAATTTCAACGGTGTTGATTTAAAGAGCCAGTAAACAACAAAAAAGTTGCATTATAAAGGAGCAAAATTTTTTATTGACTTCCTCTCTACCCATTTTTCGCAAATTTGAGTCTTACCCGCTACCGTTGATAGTTTCCCGCTCATTTTTTTCTGTGTCAGTTTAATATTCATGTCGTGTGAGATGAGCACTGACGATACAATTCAACTTAATAAGAATATTGTTTTGGGAAAAGAAGTTTTACAACGATTAAAAGAATCATTAGTCAAATTACTTTTCGATTTTTCTAGAGTAGTGCTAGGTTAACAGCGTGCAGGATGATATATCAAAAATAACATGCTTGTAGGACTTTAGCTCCGACTGATCGTTCAAAAACGTTGGACGTTGACGGAATCGTATGTTAATCATCACGCAATTTCCTGACGAACACTAATAGCTCCATACTAAATATATATATATTTTTCTTGTCTTATTAAAATGAATAATCTAGATTGAAAAATCACGCACTCTACCTGTACCCATTTTCCACAAGCTTATCAACTGGGTCATCCTAAATGCCTCCCTCTGTCGTTCTTTGTGGTTCCGTGCCTCTCAATTCAGTCGACGCTGTCTTTTCTACGTGTGCATCAATACTTGGTCCATTAGCAACGCGACTGCCCGATGGAGAAGTGGGAGTGCGACGCGGCTGGATTACATGTCAGTTTATTTGGTACGCTAGTGATCATATTAGTTGTTTCTTTTTAGTCCAACTGGATGTTTTACTTGCCAACGGCAACTTCGAGATGGTTCCTCCGGAGCCTGGTACCTACTCTGCCCTTTCAAAAGTCCGCCTTCGTGATGGTGCCACTGCCTCCAAAGTTGCTTTCGGTGAGCTAGGCTACGTCAAAGCTGCCAAAGAATCGTGGGCCATCTTTCAAAAGCTGACCGCTGAGGGTACAATTGCTCCTGAAACTCGTTTTCAAGTTTGCCTTCCCACGCCGGTGGCTGTTGTCGGAGTTTTCTTGGCAGAATATCAAGATGAAATTGAGCGCTCTTATGAGTCTCGACTGCTTACAGAGCTAAATGAAGTGTTAGACTTCATCCCAAAAGACAAACTTGCCATTCAGTTAGACGTGTCTTGGGAATTCGCACTTTTGGAAGGATTGGCCCCTTCATGGTTTGGTTCGACCTATGAAGAACAACTACCTCGAGTGGTTGAGCGACTTGCTCGGTTTGCAAATGCTGTACCAGATGGCGTCGAGTTCGGAGTCCATCTGTGCTATGGTACGTTCTAGGTTTTCATGAATATCACTCAGTATAATTGAATTACATATCTTACAGGTGATGCTAGTCACAAACACTTCAAGGAACCCAAGGATATGACCAAACTGGCTGACGTTGCGACAGGCTTGATATCTCTTCTACATCGACCACTGACCTATCTTCATCTACCTGTCCCTCGCTCTCGTGACGACGTAGAATATTTTGCTCCTCTTCAATCTGTCATTCCTCTTCTCGCATCTCATCAAACACAACTGTTTCTTGGTCTCATTCATCTTACAGATGGCGAAGCGGGAGCCAAGAAGCGTATCGACGCAGCAACGAAGGTGGTCAAAGGATTTGGCGTTAGCACGGAATGTGGATTCGGTCGTCGACCTGAAGAGCATGTCATCAAATTACTTTCTCTCATGCAAACTGTCAGCAATCTAGTACCACAATGATGCGGAGATGTGTGCGATTAGAATGTTCTTACAATCCTCAAACTTTCTTCATTTAAATCTTCCAGTGTCATCTATATCGATTCGTAAACATTATCAATTGTTATTCTGAACTTGATTCTTCTCTCTTTTCAATATTTTTTTTTTGAAATAAACGATACTTCAAAACGAAAGTAACAAGTTTCTACACCAGCCAACAATCGTTTTCTTTGACAAATTGCTAAACCATTTCACAGAATGAAAGCTTACTTCGTTTTGGCAGCATCATATCGGTACATGCCTCAAAGAAGTTTTTTCTCAATTCCTCGAAAGCGCGATAGTTTTTCAAATTAAAGTATCTATATTAAGATCAACGAAGCACTGATGACAGATGGTCATATGAATGAGACAAGTAGTGTAAAGAACGCATTACTCAGATTATCTGATAACATGGAACTGAAAAACTATAGAAGTCAACTTTTGGTTTCTCGGCAACTCTCATGGCTCGTATCAAAGGTTCTCAGACAGTTTAAAAACTCCAATTTATCGAATCTTGTATACTCATGTGCTTGTAAGCGAGAGTGTCGGTGTATCCAACCTCCGGAGTCGAACAGTAAGGTCAATAAAACTGCGTTGCAATCGTGTTTTTTTCATTTTTGTCGATAAAGGGCGATACATTTACGTACCAGATGCGAGTCAGATGGATCAAGTAGTTTATGAAAGATTTTTCTGACTCCATCTCTCTTGCTGGGTTATTAAAAATGAAATCTGAATTTGATGTTTGTTCACTTGTTAGCTATTCAAACCAATATAAAAAAAACTGAAAAAAACTTGCACTGCTCAGAAAACTGAGTATCCATCAAAAGCCGCCAAGTTAGACGATGCCGATTACAAGTGTCGGCGAATCCTATGGAGATAACTTTCATATCTCTTAACATGTGCATTGGTACGTCCTAGTGCTTCGCGACCGATGTCAACAGCATGTTGAGCATATTTAACAGCTGATTGATACTCTTCGAGCCCTTCCAATGCCATTGCCATGTTATTATATGTCGTAGCCAACGAAGGATGGTTAGCTGGTAAAGATTTTAGTTCGATATCGAGTGTTTGTCCGTAGAAAGCGAGCACAGCCCAACTGTCTCCCATCGAATCATGTACAGCACCAATGTTGTTATAAGTGGTAGCCAACGATGGATGGTTTGATGGAAGAGAACTTTGTTGAATTTCAAGTATTTTTTCATAGAAACTAAGAGCATTTGAGTGGTCTCCAATATCTGGATGTACGAGACCAATACAATTTAATGTAGTAGCGAGCGATAGATTGTTTGAAGAAAGAGTTTTTCCTGAACTTCAAGAGCTCTTTCATAGAGCTTCAGTGCTGTTAAGCAGTCTCTTTTATCTCGATGTGCTTCGCCGATATTAATATACGTAGTAGCTAGCGATGAATAATTCGGAACGAATGACTTTTCTTGAAGTTCAAGTGTCTTTTGATAATAATAGCATTTTTTGACTATGAGAATAAGTGTGGAGGTTACTGACGAGCAGACTTACACTCATACCCTCGAGAACTGTGTTAAAAAAGATTGCCATCGATTTTTTATGATACAGAAACTTTTCGGAGTCTAAAACAATGGCTACAAACTGCTTTCTCTTATTCAATTAGTTCTGTAGTTGTTGAGGAATCGATTAGAATAGAAAACGGATTTATCGTGACAGTAAATAAAAGTAACAACATATTGAGCAGTATGAAGCAGTTATTGACCTAACAAGTTGTTTATCTAAACTTTCGTCGGTGAAAAAACACCCAAATGTAATCATCATCTCCAACATGACATCTACTACAGATTGATAATATTGAGCGCCCCTTTGCAGAGCAAATCCAATTCAATATGGCATCTATGTCAGCATAGTAAGAAATGAAGACGAGTTGAAATTTAAGAAAAAAAAATTATAAACGTTCAGCTCGCAAAGTCTTTTTTAAAATGATCGAATGTCTAAGGCTAATTAAGTTTATTCTAGTAATAAAAAAAAGCACAATCTTTTTAATCCTTGTTCTTAATTAAATCGACTGCTCTCTCGGCTATTGCAACTGTTGGAATATTTGTATTGCCTGACACTATGCTTGGCATAATACTTGCATCAACCACATATAGACCTTTAACACCTTTTACTTGTGTATCAGGTGTTACAACTGTCATGGGATTTTCTTCTCTTCCCATTTTACATGTACCAGTTGGATGATAGACTGAAATGGTATACTTTCGAACATATGATTCCCAAAATTGATCTTCGTTTTCTATTGTTTCATCTCCAATCATTTCTTTTGCCATTGATTTGAGTACATTGTTCAGCGGTTCAGTCTGAGAAATTTTTTCAACTAGTTTACATGCTTCAATCAGTTTACGAACATCGTCTTTGTCCTGTAAATAGTTTGGATTGATAATTGGATGTGTTAGAGGATCACGACTTGCAAGTGTAATTTCACCCTTTGATTTTGGATGCAGAAGTGTCGGTAAGCACAAAACCGTCCATTGTAATCTATCAGTTAGATGTGGTTTCAAATTGTGCTCATAAACTTCCGGTTTGAAGTTAAAGTTTCGAAAAAGTTCAACGTCAGCTGTAAGCGGACCGAAATGCATTTGAATATCAGGCACTTGTGTTTTATCTGAAAGAACAGAGAATTATCCGTGAAAATGTGAACTAATAGAAACAAAATTAAAACTATACTCGAATTACCGTTTCCATTCAATTGACACCAGGCTTCTGATTCAACAACACATGAAGCTAAAGGACCTTTTCCTTGAGTTGCCCATTTTTGTAAGTTTTCTGGTGTCAAATCACTAGTTGAAAGTGTTGGTATTGGAGTCCCATAGACTAGAATAGTCATTATATGATCTTGTAAATTTTTACCAACACCAGGTAAGTCAACAATCACAGGTATTTGATGTTTCTGTAGTTCTTCACGAGGACCAATTCCAGAGAGAAGAAGTATTTGAGCACTTCCAATTGTACCAGCTGATAGTATAACTTCTTTACCTTTGATAAATTCTTCTTTATTCAATGAGCTACTACGCTTAACAATGACACCTAAAAATATGAAGAGTATTTCGTTCAAAATCAATATATAATAGAAATAAAAGTAGATGACAATTTTTGAAAAGTAAATTTCCTGTTTTTTTTTTAAAAACATCGGTTACCTTGAGCGTCATAAAAAAAATATCATGACAGTTTCACTAGAAAATCTGTTTTTTCTATCTTAACAGATACTTCTAATTTTACACTCACCCGATACTTGTTTTTGTTCATCAAGCACCACTCGACAAGTATGTGCATGTATTAACAAATCAAAATTTTTTCGTTTTACTGCTGTCAAAAGATAACCACTTGCTGTTGACCAACGTTTTCCTCCTTTTGTTGAAATTTGTGACATTGATACACATCCAATAAGGCTTTCTTCTGCATTATAATCTTTAGTTTCATGAAATCCATTCTTCTCACATGCTTCAATAAATAGTTGATTTGTTGGATTTGCTTCTGCAAGCATTGTTACATCCATCATTCCTTTGTCTTGATCATGATTACGAAAATGCACATTCCTTGGTATTGTGTTCGGATCAGCACGTTCTAATTTTTTAAAATATTTTAACATTTCTTCAAATGACCATTGTGGTAATTCCCAATTATCATAATCATGTGGATCACCACGAACATATTGCATATAGTTTATAGAAGAACAACCACCTAAAACTTTACCACGTGGCCAATTACTTTGTTGATTGACACAGCCAAGGTGTGAATAAAGTTGAGATATACTCTTATATTGCCAATCAATGTCACCACGCTGACAGTTACCACTAGAACACAAAAAAATGGCATACTTTAGTCTGTTAATGACAAAATGTTTTCAAACGAAGGAAGTGCAGTAAGACTTTGCATGAGTTTCCTACTTTTATTTTTTTAGAAATTTTGTCTTTTTTCTTTATTTTATAAAAAAAGAAAATAAGATTATCGTTTGAATCTCTTTTCTGCGTTTACAAACAGTTTTATGACAACATTTTATGCAAAGTTCGAAAATCACGACTGTTTGACAGAAATTACAGTAGTTCCTGTGAAAAAATCATTTTTTTATCGAAGAATCTCTTCCATAAGAAACGTAAAACTTTTAGAACAGGCATGTATTGTCAAAAATGATCACACTATATGTGATACTCTGATAATCTCAACTTGATCAAGTTCTCCCTCACCAAGCAGCTGGCACGTGTATTTCGTCTTTTGTATCGGCACCGCCAGCTTCAATAAGAAGAACACGTTTATCAGCTTGTTCCGATAGACGATTAGCTAAGACAGCACCTGCTGAACCTGAACCAACAATAATGTAATCATATGTAATACCATCAGTTTTTGTCTGTGAAAAATCTCGTTCCCACCGTTCTATAACAGCTGGTGATTCACTGACAATTGGTGCAGCAGTCTGCTCAGCAACACTTGTTTTCGACATATTTTTCACGTAGAAAAGATATAAACTAAATAAAATGTAAAGATGAGGAGTACAAAATTACACGTGAAACCACGTTTTCTTTATACAGGGCATCATAGATGCATAGTGCACAGAAAAGAAAAATGATAACAAAAAAAATCTTATTACTTTTTTTTTTCTTTCTGTAAGTGGGACCTTAAATACACTCATATTTTTTACACGAAACAAGGTCTGCATGATCCTCAGTCAATGCTTCACAAAATATTATCGCTTGTTAAAATGTTTCTAACAATGTGTGTGCTTCGCTCATAAAATACAAGAAAATACACATAAACGACAAAAACTGCCAAAAAAGAAACCGTGATATATTACTCACTACTCTCTCTTTTCAATCAAGGCTACACACGTTACCTTATTACGAATATTTTAATAGTCATTGAAGTGAAGCGAAAAAATGTCGATCAATCAGCAGATAAACACATACTAATACATGTAGTAGATGAGTTTGAAATCTAATGTAGATTGAAATAGCATTTTTCTAATTTCG